CAAGATGTCTTCTTGTTGATATCAGAGTGTAGGATATAGAAAAATCAAGTTGCAACAACCGAGATTCAGGCTGGACATCAGGAAACGTTTACTCACTGTCAGAGCAATGCAACAGTGGAACCAGCTGCCTAGAGAGGTGATGGACTCTCCCACACTAGAGACATTCAAAAAGAAACTGGACAACCATCTGAGTGGGATGGTGTAAACTGGTGTCCTGCACCAGCAGGGGGTTGGACCCGATGGCTTCTTGGCTCTTTCTGACCCTACTATTCTATGATAAACCATATCTAATAGTGCTGGATCCAAGATTACTCCCAAAAATTAATTGCTCTAGGGAGAACACAGGCCACTCTACAACAGGTTGAATATCACTCAGCTGGTCAGATAAGACACCCATTTGCAGTGTCCCTTTTTGTTTCGATTCCATCTCAGTTTATTGCTCCCCATCCTGTGCAATCATTTGAAAAGCAAAAAGTGGTAAGAGTAGGAGGGCAATAACATGAGGTAGGTGGTGCAATCCAGCTACTCCGGATGCATGATCACCTTACATAAAGGGACTGGGAGAAGATTAGCTAGACTGAAATGCACCTGCATTTAATCTCCAGCACTTTGTGCATCGCTTCAGTTTTGTTTAAGCCTTTTGATAAGGCAACTAATAGTCACCATGCATCAAACTTCTCTGAAGAATCTGGCTTGTTCATGGTGAGATGATAGGCAAATAAGGGCAAACAACCAGCTGCAGTCCTTCTCTTTAAATGATGAGTGGAAGTAGATTAAGCAGTAGCAGGTTAATGCTCTCTCAGAGAAAGCAATTAAATTAGGGCTATATCACCAAAAAGAAAAGAAAAGAAATTAACTAAGATAAATGATAAACTAACCAAAAATAGAACCTCTTGAAAATTGAAGCCAAAGCTAATATTAGAATCAGCTGGGTCAAGGATACCACAGAAGCTATATCGTTCAGTGTTTAACAAAATAGTTATCTCTTTCCCAGACCTTGAGATAAAGCAAAGAGGGATTATTTGGTTCCATTGAGCACTATAGTCTAAACAACCAGAAAGAGCTCAACTAAGAGACATATTATATTGCATTTCCATTCCACACAATAGCCAAAGCTATGGAGATATTATAATTAAAATTATGTAACTAAGGAATAATGGACTGCATACTGAAGAACTCTGAAAATACAACTAATCTAACATTGAGTGGCAATCCAGCACAATTGTTCCAGGATTTATGTCCAGAAACTACTGTGCTGGAACATCTTTGAATTTTTCACTAATTTGCTCAACAATTAAATATTTCTTAGCCCCAGGGTCACCTTGTAAAGTTGATTATTCAAGCAAAATGAAAAACAGTCTTGAGAGGCAACAGACCTTCTGAAAACAGTCAAGGTAAATACTAATTCAGCAGCAGTTCTGGAGCAACAAGAACCAAGCAATGAGGACAAAAGAGAACTTAGGAGTGATCACTGAGGAAGTACAGCTCCAAAATCAAAATTTAAAAAGAGAACTTTTCTACACAGTGCTGTTAATCCTCTCTATTTACTCTCAGTTTCTTCATGGAATTGAGACTTGAGCACCATACAAGGAAAATTTATTTCCCTGTTTTTCTGCTATGTAAGCTCTAGGTGGCACTGTGGTACACCAGAATAGAACAAATTCACAAGAGGCGATAACTCTTTCACATTCATTATTAAATGCCATATTCTCTTTCTGCTAAAAAAAAAAAAAAAAAAAAAAGTTGCCCAAAGTGTTCATTAAATACAGAGGTAAAACTGCAAGTCCATGACATTGTTTAAAGTACCCATAAGCAACTATGAGCCTATAAGCATTTATGAGCACACAATAAATACTTCATGAAGAAAAGCTAAGAAAGGGAATATTGGATTTATCCTAAATGACTAAAGACAGCAGAAATATCTTCCCTTCAGGTGGCAGGAAAAAACAGCAAAGACTGAACATGAATGAAACGACAGACAGACAGACTATATCTATCTATATCTCCAGGGTAATGCTAGCGTACAGCAAAATTCATAGGCAAGGATTTCATGGCAGATTTTTAACTGAATACATTTACAGTGAGCATCATTTAAGCAAAGCAGTGGGTGGAAGCAGGAGCAGCTTGTGCTGGACCCCTTAACACCGCTTAATTTTCCCCATGTAATGTCCCAAAAATAGATGAGGAATGATGCACAAAACAGAATCAGTTTAAGGCCTCAGATTAAAAATGCAGCAAGAAACTACCAGAAATAAAACAGTTTTTCAGTTTAGACAAAAATGTAAACCTGAGACCTCTTAAATTATGGAAAAACTAACAATCTAGAATCTAAAGGTAAAGAAGATGGGAGCATGAATACAATTAGGTGGACATGAGGTTTCACTAGGAAAAAGTTCATAGACTTAAACTCACTACAAGCAGAACCAAAAAGTTTTTTACTAAAAGATGTTGGATGGAGGAAAATGTATGCCACGCAGGAACATTTGGCTCCAAGCCGCGTACTAAAAGTGATAGGAAAAAATGTAAGATTCAAAATGCAGAAACCACAACAGACCCTAAAGGGCACTACAGAATTGAAACTGGCAACCTTAGAATCCAGAAAAGAACTTTGGTGCATTTATAGACCAGATTTGAAAACTGAAACACAATTCCTGAAAGAAATATTACACATATTAGCTCATTTTAAAGAGGGATCTCTGTTACCAGGTGAAGTTCGAAATGAAATGATTAACTCATTTATGGACAGGAGTAGAAACAGAAAAGTAACAGCTAAAGAGTATCATATAGGAATTTCAAAATGAAATAGACTGTATCTTATTTTCCAGATGTCATGATTCATGATTCATATTCTCCCATAGATTATCTCTTAGATTCACCACTAAAGGGTTTAAAGCATTCATAAGCTGCAAGAGAATCAATTCTAGTAGCAGATCATGCCCCCGTTTATGCAACCTTTCCAAATGGCAATGGTACACTCCATCCTTATCACTGGAGGCTACATCCCATAATTGTACCAAGGCCAAAAATAAAGACCATCCTAAGAGAATACTGCATAAGAAATTAGTACTCTAAAACAAACCAACAAGTGGCAACACCAGCAAGGACAATTAGAAAGAGAAATCAAAGTGCTGAAAAACATATACAAATAGAAGAGTAATGCTTGCTTATCTCAAGATAAGGAATTTTAATTTCAGAGATTAGAAATATTATGAATTGAGAAACAACCCCTGAAACTTTTAGCCTTTTTGGAAAAAAGAAAATAGAAATAGAATCTGTTCTATTAAAGATAGTAAAAAAAATAAATTTTAAGCCAACTTCTGTAAATGAATTTTTTACAGTGCAATCCAATGGGGCTGCCCATAGCCTTCCCAGCTTGCAGACATCCTTGCTTCCATCCTTGCACACTCCTTTCCACAACCACTGTTGTGTTCCCTGGTGCATGCAGAGAGTTGGAGGCCTTTCTTTCAATCTGAACATGGACCAGATTGTGCTCTGCGCCACTAAATTAAATTACAGATTACAGATTAATAGATTATGTCCTGATCAGAACACATGATAGGAACTCTACTCCAATTTCAATTCACAGGAGAAAAAAGGAATGCCCATTTCTCCTCTTTCATAGTATCTTTCATACTATCAACAGACGTTTTAGCAAAGGTCGCAATGCAATGCAATGCAGTGAATACAGATGGAAGAAAGAAATCTTCTGATTCATTCATATGTGGTAACATCATGAGACTCTATACAAAACTTCCAAAAAGTCCTAAAAATTACAACAGACTATGGCACTAAATCAGGCCTTAAAAAGGAAAACCAAAAATAGTTTGATTAAACCTAATTAGACCAGGAAAATTGGAAATGATTTTATATATATATCTCCTGATCTCAGCTGACTAAGACAATAAAATATTTGTGAATCTGCCTGCTACATACTTTGTCACAAATAATAACATTTAATTTCAAACTTACACATAAAATAATTCTAAGCTTTCTCAAACTGGGGGGAAAATAATGTTATTATATTTAGAGAGGAATAGAGCAGTGAAAATAATAATCTTCCCAAACATTCTATACTTCTATACATTTAGATATGTTTCTCATTTCTCTATTTCTCATCCACAAAGTAGCTAAAATAAGTGGTAGTCCCACATAACATATAAAGCACATTTATCAAAATTTGGTATAAAATAACAGAGGATTAGGAATACCGATCTTTATATCATTGCTTTATATATACATTGCACCTTATACCTTTAACAGAAATATTAATTAATAATCCTGATGTTACTTGGATTAAATAAGAAGCAAGAGAAGACATGTTGGAAATTACTAGTTTACATGTCAGGTCTTACAGGTGGAAACTGATTATAAATTACTGCGAATCCTTTACGTAACATTAGAAATTTGGAAGAAGTTTCCAATCTTGTACAAAAACAATCTCTTTTCTACATCACTCTTCTATGAAATAGATCAATGGAAATATATGCAAATTGAGAATAAGTTTTGTACAGACTAAGAGATTTAGATACAGACACACATCCAAACTCAAACCAGCATATCATCAGAGTCAACAAATACTATGCTTCATAACCAACCAAATGTCCATTCATTAACAAATTTTGAACAAATCGTAGGATGAACAGTACTAGACACAAAAGGTATAGTCTTCAAATATACAGTATGTTAATATGAAATTACATATGAGCCAATAGAAGGAGCAAAACAAACCTGGAAGAGAGAGCTAACTCAACAGATCAAAAAGCCCTTTTGGGCTAAAATGTGATCAAGCACACATTTCAAATCATTATCAGAATAAAGGAAAACTCAGGATAAAGGACATCTCTCTAATGCGAATTAGTTACACTAACAAATCTATATACAGAAAATTCTGGTAGGGTTGTGAAAACACTGTTTTGGGTTACATGGGATGGAGTTACTCCATGGTTAATCAATTCTAGAAAAAGGATTTTAAAAGCCAGAAGAAATCACAAACCAGAAAATTGAGTTCTGTCCAGTTTATTATCTATATTTAAGAAAGCAAACAAAAGTTTAAGGCATACAGAACTTTTGACATTCATATGGGTTGCAGCACGTTCAACTACAGCGTCATCCTGGGAAAAAATGGAAACGCAAGTTCCCTATATGGAAATGAACTTTGGTCTCTTGCTTTAATGGAGAACTTAACATGCTGAGTTAGACAAGATAGGTCTGAAAAACATACAGTTTTTATGAAAATTGGGAAGCTCTTATCATTTTGCAAATATGAAAGATAGCACAGAACCTACATGCGCACATTGGTCAAGCTGGAAATTTGGAATAAACAAAACAGCATAATTTCTCACAGTTAACACATAAAGGCAAAAAGATGCTCAATTACTTCTACAAACTTCAAAACCCTTAATTAAATATAAAATCATACTGATAATATGAATACAGTTTAACCAGTTACTGTTTATTGTTATTGGTTTATATATTTCTAATGGAAGCTTATGTAATCTGTTAACGTTATTAGACAGTCAATAACATATTTAAAGAAAAAAGATGCTTAAAAAATAATAAAATTAATGCCTGTAACCATATTTGTCCCTAGCCAGGTGCCTGCTGGCTCTTTTAAAAAAGAAAAAGAGAAGAGAAGAATGCTGTGGGAAGGAGCATCACCCCCCTCTTGCCCAGATGGTGAACCTATTTGTGGTTGCCCCCTTCACCTGCTACTCCTTGAATGGCCACTGGGGGAGCCCCAGGCTGTGGAATCACCCAGATAAGTCATTCAGGAATGAGAAAGGCAAATGAGAGACTTCCAAACTCAAAGAATACGCTCCCTAAAAATTGGAATTAAAGGATGGTCCAGAACAGGTGAAAAATCTAACAATTAATACTACTGGGGCCCCATTTTGTGACCAAGTGTACTTTGGCAGCTGCAGGCACCAGATTCATGCATGAGAGCCAGTCCAGCATGGTGGTTGGAGTGCTAGACAGGTGAACCGAGAGATCTGTGTTCTAATCCCCACTGGGTGACTTAGAACCAGTCACAGACTCTCAACCTTGCCTACCTCACAGGGTTGTTGTGAGGATAAAGTGGAGCAGAGGACACACTCACAAGGGAAAAAAAGATGGATATAAATGTGATCTGATGATGGTGAGAGTATCTACTGCAGGCAATTTTTTTTTGTTTGCTCTAAAGTGAAACATTAAGGATGACTTACCACTGCTCTAGACTTGGAGCTTTCTCGTTTTAAGAAACACAACAACTATGACAGAAAGACACAGCTTGCATGAAGAGCGATGTTGGTGCCTCCGCTGGAATCTGCTGCTAAAAGTGTCTGCTGCACGGTAAGGCCAGCCCTGCATGCATGCATCTTTACAAGAGACGGCGGATCAATGTCCAAAGGGTTTCACCCGTCCACAGAACCACTGCTTTTGTTCTTGCGACTGAGCGGGAAGGCAGATTTGCTCTGCGGCTGAGTCATCTTGCTGGCCAGGTAGACGAAAGGCTCGATGAGGGTCCGGCGGTCAGCCACCGAGATTTCCCACAGCTTCACTTTCTCTGCCTTGGCCCAGTGCTGCACAACTTCATGGTCCACACGCCGCTGCTCCTGCAAATCACACTTGTTGCCTAAAACCACAATGGTGACCTTTTGGGAATCAGAAAAATGCCCTGATTAGTGTACGGGACAAATGCACACCTGACTCATGGGGGCAAGGCAGGCCCAAAGCATTGTGGGTAGAGAAGGTACAGAAGCCAACTCATCCGGTAGTCAGCTCTTTCTTCAGCATTGGCACTGGAGTGGAGCACCACGCATAAGGGCTGCAAGCTCAGGGGGCCCAGGCCAGGTGGTGTGGCAGGCAGAGCTTTCTTTCTTCCCACCCAGCAGCCGCCACCTGAGGAATGAACCTGACCATGCAGTGTCGGTTCTTCAGTCCTATCAAGCTTCCCATGCCATTTTCAGCACAGGGGAGGGCTGGCCACGTTCTAGGCTCTCAAGAAATATTGACTTAGACCAGCTCAGAGCCAGGACGGGCTTTTGTGGTCTCATGGAAAGTCCAGCCACACCCTCCCCTGGTTGGCCCCTCCCAAAAATGAACTGTTGCAAGAGGAATGCAGCATCATACAAGACTGGGTACGAAGCAGCCAACCCCAACTTGGTGTCCCCAAGATTTAGAGCAACAACGCTTGGCATTCCAAACCTTTGACCATGTTGTCCAGGAGTTGAGGTTCTAAGCATCTGGAAGGCTGGTTTAAAGAAACAGTGTATTTGCAGCTCTGGCTATCAGCATGTATCCCCTGCTTATTACTCTCATACACAAGAGGTTTTAATTTATGTATATAGATACACATATATATGTGTTTGTTTGCTTGAGATTTTTTTAATGGACTTTGTGGCTGAAATCATTTCAGGCTAAAAATGATCCTTGTTTTTCTCACACACCATGCCTGTTTATGCCCCTCAAATCTGGTCCTAGCAACTGCCCAAGAATGCTGCCTCATGATGCAGGCCATGACTTAACTGTTCCGCTCGGAACAAAAGCTCATCCCAGAAGTGTGCCTAAGAATGTCTCCTTAACCCCTCTGTATGTTTGTGTGTAGCACTCTACAGGCAAACTAACCTGGAAGGCAATGGAGGAAAGGAAACTGAAGAAGGCCTGGGGGGTGTGCCTACCTCCTTCTTATCCTTGCTCTTGTCGATCTCCTTCTTGAGAATCTCCACCCTCTTGAAGGACTCCTTGCTGTCAATACTGTAAACCAGCACATATCCATCAGTGCAGGAGAAGCAATGCTTGGGCAGCTCCATTCCGTCCCTCAGGCCTCGGGTGTCATAGAAGCGCACTTGCTCCCGCATTCCCCGATCGGTCTCAATGGAGCCCACATAAATGTCCTCCTGGGTTTCTATCATCTCCGAACCTGCAGAGAACCAAGAGCAACAGCTTGTACCAGTACAAAAACTATTGTCTTCGGCTGGAATGCTGGACTAGGCCAGCTTTGATCTGATCCAGAATATTTTGCTTCAAGTTCCTCTAGTCAAAAGCATTCTTTATCAGTGTTCTCTGAGAGGCTAATATATTTTATCATGCTCTATTTTAGGGTTTGAATTGTGGTGCACTATCCAGAGAACTTTGTCTGTTGGGTGGCCCAGAAATGTAATAAACTCATAAAAGTGTATTCCACAGCCTCAACCAATGGATACAAATGTGTTGCTTCTTACTGTAAACAGCTTTTACCTCAAGTGAAGAGGAATCAAGGCAAGGCAAGGCAAGGCAAGGAGCAATAAAAAAAAGGTGCCCTCTGAGATGCGTGAGATCCAGGCTGTGACAGCTTCTCCTTGGCCACTTTGAATCACAGAAGCTCAGGCAGTAGCTCTGGGGTGACACGGGATTCTGGACCAGCCAACTGACTACTTTAATCCTCATAATGGTTTTCTGAAGTAAATTAGCCTACAAGGATGGTTCCTAGTTCAAAGGTAAGCTTGATGATTGGGTAGAGAAGTGAGATTTGCACTGCTGAAGCCACACTCACCCACCACATGATTCCCATAGAGAAGCTGCTCCAAGATAGAAGTCTTTCCAACTGATGCTTGCCCACACACCACGACTTTGCAACTCTTTCCCATCTTCTGGCCCGATGGGCGAAGAGGATGAATGCAGGAAGCTATGGATTAAAGGTGGGCAATAAAAACATGCATGCATGAGGACACAGACATAAACAAAATGTGCTCTAGAAGTTAGCTCCTCCATTGTGAATCTTACATTTTAGCCCTGTACTCTGTGCTACCAGAAAACAGTGAGTTTCATTAAATGATACACCTCACAACTCTGGGTTTTATATTTTCCAAGGGAGATCTTCCATTGCTCTTTTGCCCTGGCATTTATTTTTGTAATCGGAGACTTCAACAGATATCAAACTTCTATTGTAATTAAACAGCTTACTCATCTTGGCAATAAACTAGCAGGGGAACAGGAAATACGACTGGCATATGATTTCTGCTTCTTAGTTTTGACCAAAAACAATTTTGTTGTGCCCCTTCCCCTACTGTAATTCTCTAAGGGCACAACCCTGTGCATATTTAGGCAGAAAGACTTAGAGCTGTCAGCATCCTGCCAGCCAGCCATGCTAGCTGGGGAATGCTGGGAGTTGTAGTACTTTTTTTCTGTCTGTACATGCATAGGATTGCCCCACAACATGCATTCAGACAGACACACAAAGGGGCAGTTTTTTCACAGTATCATTATGCAACTATGTTAGTAGGTCAGCTTGCATGTAGGTAAGTAGAGGATTAACAAATCTAAGAACGAAGGTAGTCTTTGGCTGGCTTTGATGTGGAACTGCATATTATGGGTGACACAGAACTGCCAGCAAGCATAGCAACGCTGAATCATGTTCATCCCAGTCATGTGCAGGAACAGATACCCTGTGTCAGGATGCCATCCTATCCTGGGTTTCTCCATCCCTGCCAGGGAAGGCTGTAAAATCTGGATGCAAAAACGCCCACAATCTGGGTATCTATCATTTCTGCCCACTGCGGGTTCCTCGATCAAAGAAGCCCATATTCGCAAAAGCTTATGCCACAATAAGCCCACCAATCTTTAAAGCACCACAAGAGCTCTTTGAGTATATCTTATTACAGCCAGGATCGGCTGCCGCTCCATCAGACGTACAGTCCGAAGCAAACCCATCTCCGCTGCTATAGAGTGTGTGAAAAGAACCTTTGGTGTGATGCAAGCATGCAAATCCAGACTCGCCCTTTTGCTTTTCTGAAAGCGCATTCTGTGTGAGAGAGCAACCTGAGGAAGAAGGGCTAATCCCCGACTGTCTGAACATACCTCCATGGGTCAGGATGGGAACTTACCCTCGAAGGATGCTCGCCCCTTGGGTTTCTTTGCTTCCCGCTTGCACTGGGCTTCAACTAGGAAAGGAACCTGGGTCAACAAGTCAGCATGGCCGAGAGAAGAGGCGAGAGAGGAGGACGCGGCCCACAGCTCCATCTAGGGCTCATTCTGCAGTGGTGCTTTTCTCGGCTTGGCGAGGCGAGAAAACTTCATATAATGAACAATTTGCAAATAGCAAGATTTTAGGTTTTTAGTTTGGGAATGGGAATGCTTCTCAGCCTAAAAAAAAGTTGGTTTTTGCTTATTGAGTTTTCTGTTATTCTCTTGTATTTGTGCATATTAGGGGCTTTATTTTGCATTTCCCCTACCATCCTTGATATGGCTTTGCTGAATGTGTGGTTTATCTTGCCTGAACTTATTCTTTTGCTATAATATTTATTATGTTCTCAATAGTTACATTGTTGTTGAAACTTCCTAAGAACAAAGTTTTTTTTAAAGTCCCACGACTTAACGTGGGGCTCAATTCACCAAGCCATTTTCCATGCCAGTGTGGTGTAGTGGTTAAGAGCCTGGGACTGGGACTCAGACGATCTGGGTTCTAGTCCCCGCTCAGCCATGGAGCCAACTGGGTGACTTTGGCCAGTCACAGACTCTCAGCCCAACCTACCTCACAGGGTTGTTGTGGTGGGGATAAGATGGATGATGTAAGCTGCCTTGAGCCCTTTGTAGGAAAAAGGCAGGATATAAATAAATAAATAAATGCAGCTCTTGTTCATTTCTATGATCATGACCCATGTGTCTAATCTACCTTTTTGCCATCAGACTCACCTGCTAAGGTCACTATCACACCTCATTTCATGGTAAAGCCATCTCTGTAAATTCTAGACAGGTCCATAGGATCTGCTTTCTGCTTTACCAGTGTGTAAAACAATGTTGGATTGTGACTCACTCAGTGAACGAAGGAAATTGAGATAAATTGAGAATAATTTTTGGTTCCTGTATTCACACAAGAGGGGCAACTTAACTTGAAGAGGATAACACAGTAACTGAGAAACAGGGGGCATTAATCAAGCCACAAAGTGTTTATCTGAAGGAATGTGGAGGGGAGAAAAAGATAAATAGGTTGAAAGAAAGTATATCTAATCCTGTCATAGTATTTATGAGACAGGGGTCATAGGGCAAGGTAAAGATAGAGAGGAGTGAACTAGTGAACTTGTAGTTATAAGCACACAGGCATAATAGATTGATGAATATTAACTCACACACCTTGAATAGACAATAGGCTAATTAAAATGCACATGCAATGTATGTCAATGTATGTAATGGGATGAGGTAGGGAATATGAAGTAGGTGGACGGAAAGATTGTAAACCCTTTAATACCCAGCTAACAGGGAAAGAAGGGAGGTTTCTCACAGACAGGATAGAGAATAAATGCCGTGGGCAAAGTAGGCTTGGTTTGCCTACTTGCTTGGGACACTCATTTTGCAAAATGTATTCAATAAACTATTGCTGCTGTAGTCATGCTGTCTGGTGTTGATTTTTCAGCAGAATCTTCCCTGGAGAGGTAAATCCACTGCTCACACCAGGACCTTGAGATTCATTAGCTAGAGCCTGAAGGGGGATAACAAACTGAAAACAGCACTTAGAAAGAATTTTGAACCAGGGAAATTGAGAACCAGAACAGAATGGAGCCAACAGTCCTTATCAGGAATAACCTTCATTCCAGCAGTATAATGCAAGGCATTTGCTGCTGCTGTTTTTAGACAACTAGAATTCTTGTGAATCTACCAGAAATAGCCCAGATTCAACTCAATCTTCTGCCCATCTTTGAAAGAAGGACTCATGTTATTAAGTGCTACATGCTGAAAACAAAAGAAGGTTGTCATCATCAAACTTTACCTGTTAGCTTTCCAAAAGCATCTGCCATTCAAGGTGTAAGTTGGAAACCAAATACTAAGCTCAATGGACCTTGCTCTGATGTGGTGGGACTCTTCTTCCTATGTGCTTAAGTTGTATATCTGGATACTGGCTTGCTGTAAGTGCCTCCAATTATTAGGAAGATTCAAAACAATATTCCAAATCCATTAACTGAAGTTGAACACTTTTGTTCCAGGAATACAGATTTGGGGTGAAAAATCATCTGATATACATTGCGATATACATTCCTTCCAAACTTGAAATGTTCCTATGACAACAGCAGATTTTCTCCCATAATTTAAGTGAAATGTGCGTGTTTACATAAAAATATATCCCAATTTGAAGTTGTGAGAACTGGTGGCAAACAATGGAGAATTGTTTTAAAGCTTTTGACTGAAATTTGATACAGAAAGATGTGGCATGTTTTGACTATATAACAAAAACAAGCAGGCACTTTAATCCACATTTGAGAAGTCTTGCAAGGCTTTGTGTCGTGGCAGCCGCCATCATTTTGAATATCCAGGACACAGAAGTACACTATAGCATGCTATGTGGAAACCCAGTAAGGATGGGTTGTTGGTTGACAAACCACTCACAATCATAAGACAGCAGATGGGTATTAGATTTCTTGGCAAGTACCCCCCCACCCCCACCCCCACCCCTTGTCAGGGCCACATGGAATGAAAAGCCATGGCAGGAAACACTTAGATCAGCAACCCACAGGTTCTGCAACCGACTAGGCAGCAGTGATCCTAAGAACCAGGTCAATATTTATATTTAGCAAAGAATTATATATTTTTGGAATAAAAACTACCAGAAGAATAAGTAATTTTCACACAGCTTGATTAAGCAGAAGACTGATATGTCCATGTTTTATTATTTTTGTTTTGCCATTTAAGTGAAAAACTATTTAAGTAATTCATAATTGTTTAAAATCATGTTTATGTAATTGTGGTGTGAATTTTATATGTGTATTTGGAAACAAAATACAATCCAAATGAATTCAGTAGGGCATTGATCACTCCTAAATGAGCATCAATATAGGCTGCAACCTAAAAGCCCGATCTTATGAATAAGGCCCATGAAACGCCAAAATAACGTGCTCCTTTCTTGGACTTATTCTTCCGTCTACAGCGAACTATTCCGCCGGCCGACCTACTCGCGGCCTTGGCTCAAAAAGTCCCCTCTTGGCGGACTCGGCCGCAGCTTGTCCTTGTTCAACCTAACCGGAAATGGCCTCTCCAGCCGCCTTCTCGATCACCGGATATGGCGGGGTGATTTCCCTTCTTTCTGTCTGTCTTTCTCTCTGTCTCCTCCCGGCTCGCCGGCCGTTGATTGCAGCAACGAGGAAGCAAAATGGCGGGGGCGGGCGGAGATTGCGATGTGATTATGGCGCCTACGGCGGCCACACCAGTGGTAGCTTCGCACTCTGAGGTGCCGGCGATGTTAAGCGACGAGGACGAGGATGCGGGGACGCGCCGGTAAGACCCCCCCGCCGCCCCATCCACGAGAAGGAATGATGCCTTGTTCCATTCAGGGGGAGGGGCTGCTTCAAGGGGGTTGGGGGTGGAGCTTCCTTCTTTGCGGACGGGGAAAGGGGGGCTTGTGTCAGAGAAGGGGTTGTCTAGAAGGCCCAGGGTGCCATTATCACTTGTTAGCTCTTTTTTAAGTGTTCTTGAATTTAAGAGGAAGCCAGTTGATGGAAGGCAGAAGGATAGCTGAGTGGAACCCTCATGCTCAGGAAGAGTGTGCCTCTTCAGGTGTTGGGGGTAAATAATAGGGCTCATGCCTTCGTGTCTTGCTTGTACGCTTTTTTGAAGCCTCCAGGTGGAGCATGTTACAGAAGGGATGCTGAGCAAGTGTGATCATGGGTCTGATCTAGCGAGGTAATATTTAGTTTCCTAAGGGCAGTGCAAATAGTAGTGCCTACACTCTCAAATGCCCAAGGGCTTAAACTGCATGGGAGCCCTTCTACTCTCCCTTATCCTTGGATGTGTACTTAATGCAGAGTTCAAAAGAACTTTTTCTCAAGTGCTGCACTAAGCATGTCTAGGATTTAACTCATGCTGTTTTTCAAAGTGCTTCAAATATTTCAGTTGACACACCATGTTTTTCCTCCAAGAACATTGTAAAAATGTATTGTGATTCTTTTTACAAAGAGTTTGTTCAGTGAGATAGCGTAACAGGTGTTTTCCCTAGCTTGCTGTAAGTGTTATGTTATGGTTGTATTTCTTGGTTTGGAATGGAAGCTGTTTTTTCTCTAAAGATGTTAAACAAGGTGGGCAACTAGTGGCCCTCCAGATGTTCTGGCCTACAGTTTGCATCAGCCCTAGTCAGCACAGTCAGTGATGTGAGAGAATGGGAGTAGTATGCTAAAACACCTGTAAACCTGCAAAGTGGTTACATTAAGGAGATAGGGATAAATGTAATAGGGGTGGACAGTGAGACACATGGTTTTTCTAATGGGTTAGCATGCAATCTCTTATTTAGGAAAAAATACTGGAATTCTCTTATGACATATCTTGGATCACTGAGTTTTTCCATCTTGCTGATAAATAATTGAAAGTATTCTGTTTTTGAAAAGTAACAAGAAATCTCTTTTTGTTAAAATGAGGACTGGTTAATTCATAGCCAGGCCATATCTCTCTTACTTGTAGTGAAAGTGATAATTTTAGAGAAATTGGTGGCACATGCAGTTACTGTTCACTTACTAATTAGAAAACTGATTGTCCTCAGGTAGTTCTTTGGACAAGTCTTCTAATAACAGCTCAGCAGCGTGAGATTTGTTCTTTCTAAGATAAAGGCCATAATTTAGTGATTGAGCATTTGCTCTGCATACCAAAGAAGTCCCATGCTTGTCTGAAACCCTGGAATGCCACCAGCTGTGTGTATCATCTACACCATAGACTGTATTAAGCTGATTTGGTGATGCAGTTAAAGCAGTTTCCTTTTATCCTTACAGCTTTTAGTACTGAAGGAATGGGCTGAACAAGCAGGATCTTGGAGTGGGCTGCAGGTAGTTCAGAATATATTGGTAGGTCTCTGGATGATTTTCAGTGATTAGCAGAGGTCTCCAATAACAATGTTTAGGTCCAAATTAGGCATAAATTGGTATCCTTTGTTTGTAATGACTCATTGTAAGTTTCTATTGATGTATGCAAGTCTTCCCAGTGTACAGCTCATGGGGATGTAATAGGTAATTGGCCTGACCTCCTGAGCCACCAGTTTGCATTTAGTTGCCTTTGAAGGAACTTGAGGTTCTGGTAAGAAAGCTAAATAGATGCTGCAAACATTTATTTATTTATTAAAACATTTTTATGCTGCCCCATTCGCCGAAGCCTCGGGGCGGCTTACAACAATAAGTTAAAATAATTATAATATAAATCAAGAATATAAACATTAAATTAAAAATACAAAAATATTTGTACAAGAAAGTACATGAAATTTGTACATTTGTACATGAAAACATGAAAGTCTTCCTTCTCCTGTGTTGCAATGTGTGCTTGTTGCACTGAGCTGTCTTGTTCTTCTATGTCCTTAGGTGATTGCCAGTGGTTGTGTACCATTGCCCGATAGCTAGTCACAATGTAGTTTAGTCTCCAGGGTCCTCTGACAATTAACTTAGACTGAGAGAGACTGATTTGTTTTCAGTGTGCTTTGTGGCTTGGGTAGGTTTTGAATACAGGTCTTCCGTATGCAAAGCCAGGACTGATTCTACCAGGAATTAATGATAAGCAACTTTTAATTTTTTCTGATTTTTATAATATTGTGTATTTATCATTTGTTTTTATGGATTGTATAAGCCACCCAGAAAGCTTTGGCTGTGGGGCAGTATAGAAATGAAATTAAGAATAATAATACCACCAGTTGAAGCAAATCTGCATGTTCTCCCCTTAGTTCAGATTCCCTGCAGATTCTCCAGTTACCAACACAAATACAAAATTAACACCTGGAAGCAATGGCTCTGGCAATAGTTCACTTTGGAGACTAGGACGTGAGAAAGAACACATCTTTAAGATACAAGAGATATTCTCTGCTTTCAAAAAAGAACATCGATAGGTAATGTTTGAGTTTGCAAACAGAATGACGGTGGGTTTAAATCTGTGTTCCAGATATTTATTTAGTTACTTCGCAGCATATTAGCGGTTCTTCAATGAAAAGAAAAAGAATGGCAGACAGCCTTCCCTGGATGACTGGTTGTCTGCGGCTACTGATCATCTTCTGTAAGGTGCACACACAAACCTGGTGTTCCTGCAGAGCAAAGGTGAAAACCAGTCTCCAACATGAACTAATTGTGCCTTCTAGAACATGTTCTAGAATCCTCCGTAACATTCCAGAGTTCCTTAGGTGATGCTTCAGTGTGAAAAGGGTTCTCTGAAACATGAAAAACGCTTTTCTTGAAAGGGCCACTGTACACACCCTCCCCATCCAATGACATTTGGAAAGCTTATCAGCAGTTTTCTATTGAGCATCAGCATCCAGTTGTGAAGCACTAAACATCATTCAGATCAAGTATTTGTGCATTCTCAGTGTTCAGGATTCACAGTAGAATTAGCCCCACAGTGTTTAACAGATTCTCATTATTTAGGACAAAGTCTGAAGGTACAGCTTTGCAATATTCTGTAAGGCTGGAACATAAAGGCATACTCCCTAGAGCCCATGCTTCCTCCAGCAGGGAGAGTGTGGGTTTAGGCACAATCAGACAGGGAAAAGGTGCCAGCAGAGTAGCTTTATAGCCATGTAGAAGTCAGTTTCCACAGAGATGTCCAGTCCAGTGGGACTACCATCACTTTCGTTTAATAACCAGCTGTAAATAAGGGTTTCTCTTTTTAATGAATGCATGAGGGACCTTAGGATTTCTCCCTTGTTATCAAGATCTTTTGAGGAAAAACTCATCTGGTTCTTTTATTGCCAAGTTACGTCCCCTTTCTCGGAGAGAAGAGACAAGTTTTCTAGCATTTTCCTGCCCCTTAAAGATAGATCTCTTAACTGTGAAATAACTACTTCTCAGAGTCCTGATCCTGTGAATATGTTTGGATTGCACAAGAAAGGCAATTTAGGAGGTGACTGAACTTTAGCCTATGGCTTCATAAAATGGTTTTCTGAGCTTGGTTAGGAAGATCAATTTGCATATAATGATCATATCTTTTTGCATGTAATCTGCCAGAATAATCTTGGGTGTTGAAAGCATTTATTTACTTATTCATCAGAAAGTGTTTTTATTCTGTTCTTCAACTGATTGGCATTCTAAAGTACCTTAAACATTATTTGTGATATCCAGCCAACTAATGTGATGGGGCCTGGCAGAACTTTAATAGAGTTTATGTTGTTATCTTTGTCCAGATTCTATTTGAAATAGTGTGCAGGGGGAGGGAAGTCCTAAGATTCATCCTAGGGGTTCAAATTGACAAGATAAGATGGTTGTCTTTGACCTACACCTAGGTCCTTCTGCTGTTAAATTGTCCCTAATATATTCAAACACGGACATTAACAAGTAGAACCCACAGCACAGGAATGAGTTACGAGTAGTTACCTCATGTCCACAGTGCCTCCAGAGCAGACTCAGGCAGACAATCCAAACTACATCTTATGGAGGAAGACCCCACAGGTGGTAATCATTTATGCCTAGAAGAAAATCCCATCCAGGCAATTTGAATTCTACTCATGATTAGGATCATTTCCCATCTTACATGAAATACATCTTTGTTCTCTCCTGGCTTCTTAGCTAATACAAGGCGTGAAGGGGAATTGTAGGAAGAAAGACACAGTGCAAGCACTGCCTAGGAGTTATCATTAGCTGATATCCCAGGTGAAGCAGCCCTTTCCTGTTATAAGACAAGACTGCCAAGTCTTCCATCTTCAGTTGTGGTAAATTTGGGAGGTCTAAAGAACGGAGGAACAGCTATTGAGATTTAGTGGTGATGTAATCTTTTTCGATTAAAACAATATCAAGTAGTCTCCTGGGTTCCTGCATGCTAAAGCAGCATGGTTGCAAACCTTTGGTGCCCCCTTTCTTAAGAAAATCAGTGATTGTATAGACTAGGGAGCAATAAAGGACTGTTCTTTTTCATAGCTGTTTTTCAAAATTAATTTATTAGCTTGTCAGCACCTGCTTGGCTTTAAGACATTCTTGACAGAGGAAAGCTCTTACCTTTGCTTAGACTGTTTGTTTGTTTTTTTGAAACTCTGTTTCTCCAGCCAGACTTAGAGCAGGGCTGGACTCCCTGTTTCAGTAATAGCTCCTGGGATTTGGCAGCTAACTAGCTTTCATGGAAGGGAAACCAAAGCCTGCAGAATTCCTAACACAGCAATGCAGTGTATGCAGCACGCAAGGAGATGCTTTTGAGCTGATCACAGTGTGACCTTGAGAGCAAAGAAGACACCCTAGTGTAGGCCTGAGGCTACATTGCTTCACAAGCAACTTTTAGCAGTTGATGTTCTGCAATGTGAAAGGGATAAATGCAACCCTTCATGAAACAAG